TTCTTGGAATCAACTGATCCAATTTGGCCTGGAGAAGAAGGCTCTGATTTCACTGTTCGAAGTTGCCCAGTAGAGCTTTGAGTCTTGGAATCGACTGGTCCAATCTGGCCTAAAAAAGAAGGCTCCAATTTCACTGTTCGAAGTTTCCCAGTAGAGCGTTGAGTAACAATGGCGTTCTTGGAATCGACTGATCCAATTTGGACTGGAGAAGAAGGCTCCGATTTCACTGTTCGAAGTTGCCTAGTAGAGCTTTGAGTAACAATGGCGCTCTTGGAATCGACTGGCCCAATCTCACCTGAAGAAGAAGGCTCCAATTTCACTGTTCGAAGTTGCCTAGTAGAATTTCCAGTAACAATAGCGGCAGACTTCACATTTTCCCTTTTCTTGGAAGAACTGACTGAACCAATCTGATCAGTAGAAGTCTCCGATTTCACTTTTCGGCGCTTTCCAGTAGAGCTTTCTGTTACAGTGGCAGGAGACTCCACGTTTTCCGTTTTCACGGAATCCATGGAAAAAGATGCGCCACCGCCGCTATCAGAAGTGTTTGTTTCGGGTGAGTGAGGAGGACCAGGTTCAGCCTTCATTCTGAGAGAAGTTCTTCGATTAACAATGGCGGGTGACTTCTTCTTTTCCCTTTTCTTGGGAGCCATGGGAGAACAAAGCTTTCTTTTTTTCTTCTTTGTTGACAGTTATGGCGATTGACAGAAACAGAGCAAATTATAGTAGTTGGCTTTCAAGTTATATATTGCTTCACTTTTTGCGCCCAATTCAAAAGCCGCGCTTTACAAATGGATATAGTATAGGGGTATATTATGCGTTCAGGGCGATTTATGCTATTTACATAATATCGCTAATTTTATTTTATTTTATTTTATTAGAGTTCTGGGACAATTATATCGTAGATACATTTAAAGTTGTAATGTGCACTACTTTAATTGACGTGAGTAATTAACGTAACAATGTGATGAATTATATATTGATTTATTGTAGAATTGTAAATGAATTATCCCAAAAAAAATCAAAAAATAAAATTTGACGGTTTTTATCTACCCCATTGGCTTCATTTTTTTTTGTTTGTTTATTGGGGGTTGTGAATTGAAGTATCAAAGTTAGTCTATTGTTGTGGTGTATCAACATTCAAGTTCTGATATGACATTTCAAGATATGAAACGCAAAAGATAATAACACAAATTATGTAATTGATGGTATCATGATACCTTTCCAATATATGATTTATCATTATGATCTGATAGATGTTGTATTGTGATACTTTTTCAATCGATGTTGTATCATAATACCTTTTCAAATTCCGATCCATTACATAATGATACTTTTTCGATACATTACATAGTGATGCATTTTTAATTCATGATGGATAATGATACCTTTCCGATATATTACAAAATGATACATTTTCAATGCATAATGTATCATGATACCTTTTCGATACACGATGTATCATGTTACTATATTTACGTTAAAGAAATCACATACCTCTTTGATATTTTATGTTTGAACGACTTCACTTCAACAACAGTTTTGCCATTGAAAGAAGAAACACGTAGATACATTTATTGTTAATTAAAATCTTTACCTAATATGGATAAACAAAAATGCAAATTTAGGAAAATCTCTAATGAATTTGAAGAAATTTCATGCTAATGTCATGCACATATATACCTAATACCAGTCCATTGGACTCTACGACTAGTTTCTCAAAGTAATCAAAACATATACTAAGGGCCCGTTTGGCCACGCAATATGGTATCATGATATAATATCATCAGTGGCGGATCCAGGATTTCAAGGTTGTGGGTGCTCCCTTAGCTATAGTGGCGGATCGAGAATTTTGACTTAGGAGTTTCAAAATATAAAGAAGTAAAATCGTGTAGAAGTTAGGGAGTGTCAATTTATATATCTATATATATATATATATATATATATATATATATATATATATAGATATATTATTTTTAATTGTTTTTATCTAACTACACGTACAATATAATCTTCTGATAAAAAATTGTCGATCGACACCCCTCGAGTATATATGGCTCCGTTATTGCTTAGCTATCAATCACAAATATAAGTGCACAAATTTAACACTTGTTATAAAAAAGGACAATCATATTTAAGCACGATAATAAAAAAAAAATTAAAGAAGAAAAATTACAATAAAAATTATCTTGGATAAAAAAAAATGCTAGAAAAGGCCACTAGCGAAAGAGAAAAATTAATAATCTGCATGGGAGAAAAAAATATAATGAAGTCCAATTAGAATCAATAAGTAAGAGAAGAGCTAATTTTTAAACTAAAAATAATGCCTTTGGAGGAAATCGAACCTCTGGCAAGAAATAAAAAGAATGAAAGACCTCGAGCACCCACAATAAACCACCATGCAAATTAAGTCATTGTTCCTATGGGTGCTCTCTAATAAAATATATACAATTCTTCTTTCTTTCTATATAAATATATATAATTCGATACAAGGTTAATGGGTGCTCGAGCACCCATATAGGACCATGTAGGTCCGCCCCTGGATATCATGATATGGAATTATGAGATGAATTTAAAGTTTTGTTTGGACATGTGATTTAGAATTTTTGTGTCGTATATTTTCGCATAAACATAAGAATCTCAGAAGTTGTAAAACTATTAAAATAGCCCAATTGTTTATTCAATCTTACCAAATAAACAAAAATTTATAAAATCATATAATAAATTATTACAAAGCTATTCGTTCTCTACTTAAGTAATTGTTTCATCTAACTTTAATTCAATAAAAAAATGGAACATAAATTGTAGTATACTAGTCTTTAATATAATCCTCCTACATAGTAACAACAATTTCCTCACGTTGAACTTGCATTTCTCGATCATGTAACCGAGAAGACGAACCAATATTATTACTTTGAGTTGTAATAAATTAAAAACGGTAGAAGTAATAAATTAGGTGTTGGAGTAAATAAAGAGAACAAATTTATTACTCAACAATTGGTTGGTGTGAGTTAAAGTGACTATATGTTGGTGAGAATAATAAATTTTATGTCGGTGAGAATAATAAATTAAAAAAAGTAATGGTGTGATTATAAATTTTATTTACATATGAAATAAATGGTTAGTAGATATAAATGTGGGGTTGTTTTAACAAAAGTATAAACTTCTGGATCAATTTTTGTATTAAGAATATCTCAAATCATGATATGAAATTCTCATATCATGGTTTTTGGAGAATATGGAATCACATCTCATGATATGAAATCATGAGATGGAATCAGCATAAAATCTCATGTCTAAACGCTGATTCCATCTCACGATTTCATATCGTGATATGATATCGCATGGCCAAAAGCCTACTAAGTCTATAGTTTTGAGAGTCCTAAACTATATATCAAAGCCTCAACATCTCGGCTTCATATATTTCTCAAGACAAGTAATATCAAGAGCGTCGAGCATATAATTTTATGATAACGATGAATGGAAAAGTATAACATATTAAACCTTACATAGCTCGAATTTAAATTAATCAGATATCAATATAGATATCAAGTATAGACGGAAGTGTCGGAGTTTTAACTATTTGACTCCACATCTTGTTCAACATGATTAGTTGGCAATTTGAGTCAAATCCATTTTTTCAACAGAATTGTCTATATTATTTTTGTTTAGAACATATATATTGTCCGCATGGAATGCAATTTATTCGTGACAAATTTTTGGACCAACTTATATAAAATAAATACATTTCTGATTTGTTGATCTGTCACATGTGAATGATTAATTATGGCAAGTTGGCAATTTATTGTCATTAACCTTCCAATTTGCCTAACTCCATATTATTACATGAATCATGAACATACATACACACACACATATATAATGAGATTCTTTGGTGAGATTCATAGTTAGGACTAATATTTATTTGGAAGCAATAAGCGTCGTTAGATCAGTTAAAAGATAATTATAAATAAATTTTTATACAAATATTACTTAATTGATAACGTAAAAAATGGAAACAATTTTACGTAAACTAATATACATTGATATTTTGTATGTACTATCAATGCATGTAACTTAATCTCATTGAAAAGTATTTATATTTTCAATTTTTTTTAAAAAAATTATTTGTAAGAGCTTTCACCTTTTGCTCCCTTGGTGGGAACTATATAGTTAAAAGTGAGAATTGTTTTACCATATGATTAACTCCCTCAAAAATTCACTTGAGTATACGCTAATTTTTTTTGTTCCGTCTTGGAAAGTGTTTTCGTCTTGATCTTATACTCCATCCAATCACTTTTGCTCATCGCATTTTTTAAAAAACAAAAAAAGGAATAAAGAAAGTGAATATTTTATTATAATACATATGACTATTAGCATTTCAAAAAAAAGTTGAGAAAGAAATTTTTTTATCTTTCTCTTGATATGATAAAATATATATATTAGTATTATCATAAACAAGTAAAAGGGGAGCTCAATAGCTTATTGAAATAATATCGATGTTGCAATAAGGACCATTAATACACATATGTATGTACATATAAATCGCAGTCTCTCTTAATTAATTTTTCAACTTCTCTAGTCAGGTGGGTACTGATTGATTTTTCGACCAAATACCCCTAAAAACCGCGCATAAGGGTCTCCTCACATGCCACTCATGTTATTTGAGGTGGCCCAACCCAATATTTATTCACAAATCCAATAATTTACGCAATAATTAACGCTCAATCTTTTACAATCAACAGGCGTTGCTATTTTCGATCCAATAATTATTGAACCTAAACAAAATTTCCCTTGTTATTTTTTGTATTTTGAATGAACACATAAATTTTTAAAAAAAAGTTAAAAAGGAATATATGCTTTCAATTCAGGCAAAAACAATTGCTCATTTAATAAAAAGTTTCATGTTATATACGCTTTTCTTTTTATCAAGTCTTATGAAATGTGAATTCAAATTGAATTTCAATACGATATCAAACATCTGGCAGAAAAAAATTGAATATTTACAACCTGTGTCGAGTTAAACCATAAACAGTCACAAGAGCCATGACAAGTGAATGATCAACATGAGGCTCCACCACTAGACTTAATACATCATCCCCAAACTTAACTGCTGATGATGATTGCTTTTGTTTAACCTGAAATAAATAAATATATAAAATCAAAAGTTAAATATACTATACTTATATATTACTGTAATAAATTACACAAAATAAAATAAAGTAACAAACCTCAGCAATAAGTCTGTTTTCTGTGTTGATAATCTTGAAGCCTAATTTGCCTCTTAAAGCAATAATCCTATAGTTGTTTGTATCACATCCAAAAATAATATCATAATTTAAGTCTCCTGTGAATAAATTGCCAATTTTTTTCACTTGAAAATATGGTGTCTCCTCATCCATCTTATAGCCATTCCAATATCCAAAAAGTGTCAATTTCTGAAAAAATAAAAATTAAAAGTCATTCAATTAATAAGCAAAAAAAAAAATCATTCATGAAAAAGACTCCGACCACACATGATAGGGCGTGCTGAAATAAATAATTAAATAAATAAAAGTGTACGTAATCTCTTGGCATGAACTTAAGTTTATAAATGAGATTATCACAAGTTCATCATAGTGATTTTCATCATCTTACCTTTTTACTAAGAGAAAAGAGAATTGTTCCATGAAGATCCATGAGATGAACTTGTTTGCTACATTTTTTGCTATAATTGTCAATTCTATAAACAAGTTGACCTTTTGAGTCAAAAACAGCGCATCCATTTCCATGGAATACTAGTGATTTCATCCATAAAGTAAATGTTTCTCTTTTTGTTGTAACATATTTACTTATACAAATTGAAGAACAAGAAGAAGATGATGATGTTTGAGGATAAATTCTTGCCATTGGGAAAGTTTTAGAGAGAGTACAAATTGAGTTTGTGATAGAAGATACCTTTAAACAGACTTAAATATATATATATATAGTGAGTATTTCAAGAAAAGTTGTTGAAAAAGTACCACTAAAGATAATTAAACTAATTATTGGTATGGCCCACTTAAAGTGAATAATGTCAAGGGTTTTATTTTTTAAAAATAAAATAAAATTGGGGTATAGGATTATAAGGTGGGAAATCAAAACCTTAATGTAAAAGCTCAGAAATAACACAAGGATTTAATGAGATTCGATTATTCCTAAATTCCAAGCAAAAGTAGAGAGAGTTTTCTACTGTAAAAGAAAAAAGAGAAGTTTACAATGCTTTAGAATTTCCAACTAAATACCTATATATAGATTTCAAGTAGTTTCAAATCTATATGAAAAATATTTTCCCAATCTCGTAAGGAGAATGTATTCCTTTTCCAAATCTATTAGGACAAACAGTTTCCTAAACCAGCAGGAGTTATGAGTTTCCTAAAATATATAAGAAAAATTTAAAACATAATTAACAAATAATTTTTCACTATTTTCCACTCTAGAAAATAATAACAAAATCTTTATTAATTACAGTATGAAATCCTTTTTAATTTAAAACAAGAAAATCATAAATAAACATGCATGAATAAAATAAACTCACAAAAATGATTTTCTATAACTATGAATTATTATTTTCAACACTCTAAATAATTAGTTTCTTTATTGATTTGTGAAAAGTCCACAAACTAAAACCAAACCTTTTCTTTATAATAATAATAATAATAATTAAAACTCTCCATCTTCTTTCTTTGATGAATTAATTATTAGTATTATTATTACGTATTTCTTTGTTCAATAATGGTGGCCGCCTAGAAAGATAATGGAAAAAGATTGTAGTGTTCACGTTTAATAAAAGCATACATTTATTTATTATATTTGGGGAAATTAATGGTTTATTTTGTCATTCATTATGTTGGCCATTAAGGTTTCGAGACAATATTAATTATTGTTAAATATACGATATTTAAATAAAAACCCACGCCCAATTTTATTTTTTTTATATAGTTTATCTTTTGATAGTACTCTTTTGGTTGTTACTAATGGTGAATTTTTTTTTAGGGAAGTGTAGTCATTCAATGATAATATATAGTTTTAAAAGCGTTCATGTCCCAATAAAAAGAAACATTTATTTGTTGCTTTATCACCTTGTCCATTATTTTAGGAAATTATTTAATCTATTGTGGTACGAATTAGGGCAAGGCAAGACAGGACGATATAGCCACTTAATTAACCGGATATATTACTAACACATTTTTGTTGGATTATTAGACTAATTCAACTTAAATGTTCATGACAAAAAATTGAAAATAATGTTAAAATGAATAAATAGTAAGAAGTATTAATTTTGATAGCAAAAAATAAAAGAATATGTAAATAGGTTCTAAACAAGACAAGACTGAATCTAAACTGGATTGAGCACACTAGAAAACAAGATTAGTGGCAGCTAAGATTTTGTAGTTAAATAACAAAAAATTGATGTTGATTCCATTTAGATACGGCTCATGCGACGAATTATAAGAAATCGAATCAGTGACGAATGATAATAAATTTCATAACCCGCAAAAAAAAAAAAAAAAGGATTATATCAATCCCTAGTTACACTTCCATGACCTATATGGCTATATAAATTTTCAACATAGATCCAAATTCCAATAATTTCACACTTCATCAAACCCAATTTTGGAAAACCTAGCTATGGGTTATTACTTTTTTTTCCTTAGAAAAGGAAAGCGATTGCATAAAAAGGTTATGGTTACACACGTGAGAAAATATTACAGCTTTATAATAAACATCACGTAGTATAATCTATTTATTTTTTTAGGTTGGATAGTCATACAATTCAATAAGAAATATATTTGCCCGTCAGTTCGACCTAATTAACGGAGTTGAAAGTTAGAAAAATAAGTTGTCCGATTTGAAAAATGAAGAAATTTCTAGCGAGGAGTATATTTTCCTTAAATGAATCTTATATGATTCGATTTATTAAGGTTTTGTGAGTTGGATCTTGAAAATTTGGTTGCCCCAATGAAGGGGTGTGAGAGATTAACTATGGATATTTCAGGACAGAAATAGAGGTAGGCCGAAGAAATATGGAGGGGAGATAATTAGACAGGACATGATGCAGTTTCAGCTTATCGAAGATATTATCTAAATATGAGATTGTAGAGGACACGAATTAGGCTGAGTAGATCATGTGATACTGCTTATCCTTTAACTAATACCCTATTAGTAGTCGTAGCATTAGTACTCATGTAGTTTCTTACACTAGATTTTTGTTACTATATATCGCTTCTTTTACTTTGATTGTCGTATTTTTTTGTTGAAGTTAATGTTTGGACATGTTTTCTATACATAGTATTTTATCATAATTTCTTCATTTTTGTTATTTTCTTTTTCGAACTGCTTTGAACTGTTTTTTCCCTCAACCCAAGGATCTATTGAAAGTAACCTTTCTATCTTCTTGGTCTGCATACACATACCTTTCCCAAATCACACTTTGTAGAATTACATCAATTATATTATTATTGTTATTGTTGTGCATTTCACTTTGAAGTTTTACACTTTGTTTTGTCATTCATTATGTTTGTCCCTATCAGTGTTATGGTTGGGAGACATTATTTTTTCAATAGCTAGCCCCACTTTTTTTCACTTTTGTGCAGCAGAATTGATTTATAGTTTATAACTTTTGGTTTGTTTTTATTAGTGTAATATATATAATAGACTAAAAGCTCCTTTTAGGGGTTTTTCGGTTATTTAGAGCGTGTGATAAAATATCGAGTAATTTTTATCAATTCAAACTCTACAAACGATTTATGGAGTTCAAACGATCCGGTAAAATTTTCTGCATCTTTTTTTTTTTTTGTATTTTCACTAGGTGTATTTTTTCCAAAAAAATTATTAAAAAGGGGCAAACACTAAATAGATTTGAAATGCTACCCAATCACGTCTCACCTCGTATGGGGCGTGAAATTCTTGTTTTGCCATAAATTTTAAAGTTGAAATTTAAAAATTTGAGTTTTGAAGTACTGATTTTTAGAATTTAAAGTTGTATTTAGACATGTATTTTATTACTTGAAAAGGGGTTTGGACTAGTTTTTTAAACTTGAAAAAGAATTAAAGATAGATTTTCAAAATGAGATCCTAATTCTATGATCAAACACAAGATTAATTGTTACTTCTTGATCTTCTTAATCTTTGATAAAAAATCTAAAAAGGATTTACATTTAATTAGAAAATACTGAGGAGCCACTTAAGTGATTATTATTTGAACATAAGTAATAAATAAATAAATACTGGTGTCATCATCTTAGTCCTCACCACAAAATCATTCTTTCACATCTCCAATTTGTATCGAAGAATATTTTCTCCTTTTTTTTTATTTTCTCATCTTTGCTTAAACATTTCACAAAGTATATGAAAAAGTTGTTTGATGGGTTGTTCTGAATAGAGATGGGATTGAAAGAAAAAAGAGAGATTTTTTTTTATATAATCTAAGAAAGTAAGAAAAAAATTGGTGATTTTTTGAATAGAGAAAGAATAAGATAAACTTTCGATATGATCTTATGTGGTGAAAGTTATGTTTTATGGAGTAAGAGTAGAGATAAGGACAAAAAAAGAGATTTGTTTTAAGATTTCCATATAATTTTCATACATTGGCTCACTTTTAACAACTAGTTTTGATACACGTGTGTTGCACCTGAATGGCAAACTATATAGTGCACTATTTTTTAAAAATAATGTGCCTTCATGTTTACACCGTTTTTACTCTAATTTTTCTTCAATTGACTTTTCGGGAAGATTAGTAGCAATTCTCTGAGACCTTCTAATTCTTCTTTCCACCAATAGATATTACTCCCTCCATCCCATTTTATGTGAGGTAGTTTGACTCGGCATGGAGTTTAAGAAAGAAAGGAAGACTTTTAACACTTGTGATCCAAAATGAATGATAGAAATTTGTGTGACTGTAAATCATTTCATTAAGGATAAAATAGACATTTTATAGTGAAATTGTTACTTAATATAGAAATGTGTCATTTTTTTTGGGACTGACTAAAAAGCAAAGTAAGTCACACAAATTGGACCAGAGGGAGTAGTAGATTTGATAGCAAGAGCTTTTGTTTTCTCTCTTTAACCTCCTCAATCACCTTTCAAGTTTTGTATATCAATTTCACATATTCGTACTTTTACATCATTTTTTTGTGTGCTCATAATTTTATCATCATAATAGGTAGATTTTTTTTTTATTCTGATCATTCATACAAAGGATTTGATCATGTGAAATTTTACGATGATATCATTCATCGCCTTCAAAAAGTGGATAATGTTCATAAAGTAAATCATTCACTACTTTAAAATTATTTTGATAAATAGAGGTTCAAGAATCTAAGAAGAAAATAAAATAAAAGTAAGAAAAAAGGGATATTTTTTCCCGATACAATCTAAGTATATGAGAAGGTTATTCATGGATTGGGCTGAATAGAGATGGAATTGAGAGAAAAAACAAAGAAAATTTTTCGATATAATATAAGAAAGTTAAAGGATTATTTTGCGGAGTTAATGAATTGAGATAGAATAAGATAAAAAAAAAATTTGATACGATCTAAGGTGGTGAAAGTTATATTTTATAGAGTGAGAGTAGAGTTAAAAAAAAATGTTTTTAGATTTCGATATAACTTGAAAAAGTAAAAGAGTTGCTTTTATGGAGTTTTTGAATAGAGATAGAATAAGACGAAAATAATTTGATACCATCTAAGGTTGAGATTGAGAGAAAAGATAGAGAAAAGTTTTCGATATAATCTAAGAAAGTAAGGAAAAAAGTTGTTTAATTTTTTAATAGAGATAGATTAAGATAATTTTTTTTTTTTGATATGATCTAATGTGGTGGAAGTTATGTTTTATGGAGTGAGAGTAGAGATCAGGACAAAAAAAAAAAC